ACTTGTTACTACTAGCTTCTTGTTACTACTAGTAAGGCACTTGTTACTAGTAGCGATGCACTTGTTACTACTAGCTTCTTGTTACTACTAGTAAGGCACTTGTTACTAGTAGCGATGCACTTGTTACTACTAGCTTCTTGTTACTACTAGTAAGGCACTTGTTACTAGTAGCGATGCACTTGTTACTACTAGCTTCTTGTTACTACTAGTAAGGCACCTGTTACTACTAGCGTGGCACCTGTTACTACTAGCTTCTTGTTACTACTCTGGAGAAGGCGGGGTGGAGACAGGAGACGACCGCAGGCATTTGCTTCATGCGGGTTGGCTCTGCACCGTGAAGCGCTTGTGCGCCACGGATTCATGCGGCGAAGCGGGAGAGCTGGAGAGCTGTGGGTGGGTGTGGCCCCGGATGGCATGGCACGGGGTGTATGGTGGAACTTGGTGAAGAAGCACCACGGTTGTTTCATCTTTGTTTCCACTCCAAGTTGATGAGAAGCAACGAAGAGGAACAACACGGGTGGTGATGCAGACAATGGATGACAGCAGTAGATCGGTAGAATCTATAGAGATACTGTCCACAGAGCAGAGCTCTTAGATATAGAAACTAGAAACCCATGGAACAGCTGACAAGTTCAAGAGGAAAGTAGGCTTCGAAGTAATGAGGTGATTGGAGGGGTAACTGGCTTTGATGCTTCGAAGCAGGTACTTGGAGGCCCATCCGTGGAGGGGAACGGGGGGTGGCAATAGGGGGAAACAGAAGGAGACAAAGAGACACCTCATCTGACAAAGGGATACACGCTCGGGGACGATCCCATGGACCCTGAGAATATATCAGTTTCGAACGGTTTTGGCAATTTTCCTCTACAACCCAGTAGTTGTGGGGCTTGTGGGGCAGGGTAGATGGGACTTTCTCTCGCCACAGGAAGTTGGTGAATGTCCAGCGAAAGCCCTGACGACTGGCTGGCTGTCATTCAAACATAGGCTTTAGGTGAGACATATGAGTCGTTTTCATGGGCTCCACATGTCGTGACATTTGTTGTTGGTTTCATGAGCTTTCATGATGCAAAAAGACCACTTTCAATGTCCATACTGCTTCAATGAGGATACCTGTTGCCTATGGCACCCATGGTCAAAGCTTGTTCCACTCACCTCGTCGTGAGGCTCATGCCATGGCTCAACCAAAGCTGCACAGGCAGAGCCTTCGTGAAATCTGCGATGGTGTCGGTATGAGATTTCATCGGTTGGCACTGTGAGACGTTTGAAAGGAAGAAGAGACATGGCAGAGTACTGCGCATCGCATTGCTTGTTGATGTTTGGCATTGCGTGCTTTCGGTTGCAGGTGGAAGGTGAATGAGTGTTCTTTCCACAGATGTTTGGGAGCAAGTGGCTTATGTTCTTTTCACAGGCAGAGGCACAGGACCTGCAGCACCTTCCACCTGTACAGCAACTCAACTCTACGAAGTCAAAACATCCATCGGTGCTCACGACGAATCACCTTTCTGATGCTCACGATGTTGATCCAGCACCTTTGATGATGTTGATGATGATTAATAATACTGATAACACTTTAAGCATACCAAATCATTACAGCATAACATTTTCAGCATCACCACATCACACATATAGCTTAAACACCTTTTCCTTTGATCGCTAAGATTGGACGCTTCAAGCGCAAGAGGACAGGCTTTTGAAGAGAATAAACAGGAAGTTGAAGCCAAGAGGACAGGGAAGGGTCGGCTTTTGGTGACCCGCTCGATGGCAAGAAGTGAACCGCCCAATTTGACGCTCCTAATCACACAATTTTTTGGTGTCCTTTTTTCTGCATTCTGCATTCCGCATACCCTCTTGGAGTTACAAGCGAATTGCCAAGTGACACATTCTTCCTTGGCGTTTCGCATCTGAATTGTCGCGCCGTTCTTGAAACAAAGAACAAATACATCTAGGAGCAAAGGAAGCTACTAGGAACAAGTGCATCGCTTCTAGTAACAAGTGCCTTACTAGTAGTAACAAGAAGCTAGTAGAAACTCGACCCACGCCTTTGACCTCTCTCCTCCTCGCTGCGTTGGTCGTCCTCGTCGCAGGTTCCGGACCTTCGACGTGCTCCTGCCGTGGCTCTTGGAGCCCTGCGGCACCCAGGTTGGACTCGGTGGGTGGACGAAGCGCGGAACGGGGGCAATTCGGTGACCAGGTTTTTCACAGGTTAGGCATCACCAGTGGGGCATGGGTTTGCTGGAGATAATGTGTGCGTGTTCGTGTGTGCCTTCGAGAGACGAGTCTCCACCTGCCCCGATGGCATCTTCGACTCCAGGTCTTTGTGGATTCCAATTATCACAGTGGCTCGGCTTCACACAGATGGGACTCGATCTCGACGCGTCTCCACCTGCGTCTCCACGCGCAAAGGCAGGGCATCACCTGGTATGCAATGGCGACAGTCTTACCATACCCGGTGCCACATCACAGAAAGCTTATAGTATACAGTTGAAGGAGATGCTTGTTTCAAATTGCTACCCTAAATCCTGTGTACCAACCATGTCGGTGCAAGGTGCCAACTCTCACAGATGGCCAGTCACAGATGGTTTCAATCTTTCTGACTTGGCCATCTTGAAGCCCCGTTCGTAGCGTCCTTGCTCCTAGTAGTAAGGCCAGGAGCCCCTAGTAGCGTCCTTGCTCCTAGTAGTACGGCCAGGAGCCCCTAGTAGCGTCCTTGCTCCTAGGCCAACTTGGCCATCTTGGAGCTTTATAATATATATAATCGCTTTGAATCACAGACTCGCCCACACTATGTGATGGGTTGAGACTCCTGTGACTGGTGTGTGTCGATTCCCTTCTACACGTCCTGAGTCACTTGGGAAGCTCTTCAAACAGGATATTCATGGCGAACATGATGTTCCGAGTGCCGCTTCAGCCTATTTGTCAGCAGTCCTCACACCTTTAATGGATTGCATACCACTGTTTCGGACACCTTCCAATGAATCACACAACCTCCGATTTTCCCTCCACGCCGGTCCCTCCTTCGTTGGATCAACGCTTCCGCTCGACGCGAGTCAGAACGCTCGACTCGACTCGAGACGTCTGAGATACCTTGGAGAGCACCTCGATTTGGCCTGAAGAGGATGGCGTTTGTCGCTGGTGTCCCCTCCTGTGCGCTTGGTCAACACGACAGACGCGAGTCGTACGCCGTGCGCTCGTCGCTCGCGCGCGCGTCGTGTACCGTCGTGCCGGGCCCACGGTTCGACGAGGGAGACGAGGGTGCAGGACCATGTTCAGTTCATCCACCTTAAGCAAGACCCTCATTAGGTCATTAAGTCTCGTAAGATTTGGATCAAACATGACCTTTGGCAGAGAGAGACGGAGATACCGCTGGCAGTTTCCAGGTACGTCCCCTTCCAAGGCGCTTCGAAGCAGGAGTGCCCGATCACTGCACTCAGGCACGGAGTACTGGTTTCGATGTCACAACGTGTTTGCGGCAGAAGACATCAGAAGACATCAGAAGACCATTCTGCCCCTCCAAAAAAACTGTATGCTTTAGTTGATGTCGACTTTGAAACCATCCAAATCACCTAGGCCGGCAGGCCCTTT